AGAGCAGATTTCGAGCTTAGAGCGGGAGATCGGTGGCGCTGACGCCAAACGAGCGAATTACCAGGAAAATATCCGTGTTCGACAGCTCGCCTCCCAAATAGCCGAAGCTCAACAGAAGATCAGCGCGTTTGATTTGGAAGAAGCTTCCAGGGCTCGCCGGAACTTTGATGAGAAGTACAGCGGCGAGAAGGAAAAGGAGACCAAGTTACATGCTACTGTAAGTTTCCATCATGCTCGATTGGGGTTTTTCTTGATACGCGATTAGTGTGCACACATCCAAGGAGAGTTGAAGTCCTTGCAAGCCCAAGCAAAGGCCTCGCAGAAAGACATGAAGGAGTTCAAAGACATTGATCAGAAGTACACTGATCAATTGGTCAAAGTCAAGGCGCGTCAAGCTACGCAAACGTTGGGATGAGACTAATGGAACCTTCAGATGTCCGACGTCGCGAATAACGATCTCGAGCTGTACGCCAAAGCACTAGACAAGTACGCCGCCTTCCTATTAATGTTGCGTGTATCTAAAAACAACACCAGTGCCATTATGAAGTACCATGGTTTGAAGATGGAGGAGGTCAACTCGACTATGCGGCATCTTTGGAATCGTACCTACCAGGGAACCGGTATTTCTCGTGCTTTTGGGCCTTCTCGTCAGACCTGACACGAAAAACAGACATTGACGGCATCAAGATACGCTCGGACGTTGAAGGCGGAGCTTCCAAGCGATCGTACAACTACCGGGTACAGTAACAACTCTCTTTGACTTAACGACTTCTAATATGTCCTTTGTAGGTTGTAATGACGAAGGACCAGGTAGAGATGGACATGCGTGGCCGATGTTCGGCCGGCCAGAAGATGCTTGCATCCATCATCATCCGGTTAGCATTATCAGATTCCTTCGGTCAGAATTGTGGTATCCTTGCGCTGGACGAGCCGACGAACGCTTTGGATCGGGAGAACATTGATGCCTTGGCGGCTAGTCTTGTCGAGTGAGTGTCTCTCGTCAGTGGTTGATCCGATCCCTTACTTTCATTCCCACCCCCAAGTATCATCGAGGAGCGCAAGAACCAGTCCAACTTTCAGCTCATCATTATTACCCACGATGAAACCTTCTTAGCGAAGCTTGGTCAAAACAATGTGATGCAGCATTACTGGTGTGTGAAGCGTCTTCTCAATCGATATTCTCCAACTCATTGCCCTCCAGGCGAGTTACCAGGGATGCTCGACAGAAGTCGATTATCGAACGCCAAAATTTCGGCGTGTAGTTGCTCAGCATGCTATCGTCTCTATTGTACGTACGTTAAATTATCGGACATTTCTGTATCATCTGTATCACTATCCATTTGCATGCTTCTCGCACAGAACCTGGTGTCAATCACCCTGGTGGACACTGTGGAGTCATTCGTAATGTCCGCATTGCCTGTGCCTTCTGAGAGACGTGTGTTCGTTGACTGTGCCACCTGACATGCGAAGGCGGGGGAGAGAATGTTTCCCGAAGTCCCGGTCCTCGGAATGCTGTTTGGGCAGTTTACGAACGAGATATCCATTTATTCTGGAAGGTGAATGATAGCTTGTTGAACATCACGCTACTGAGCACTAGGCGAGAGAAATTGTACTCCCGAATAGCGATTTGACGTGAAGATTAGTAGGTGTCGACTCCTGCTTTCGGATTCGATTTATTCGCAACCCTGGTGCCGAAATGCGGTGGGGACTGATCTGTCGTACTCCCTGGACTCTGGAAAACGTTTCACGACGTGTCAGACGCTTTTCACGACGGAAATAGTGCGGTTTTACTGTATATTCACACGCCCAACGCGTAACAGTGGGATAGTTCCATTCCTGAAGTCTACTGAATGACAGTGGCGAGTTGTATATATAATGTCCAAATGCTGGCGCTCCCTCCAGGATCGGGGATGGGTCTCTTTCCTAACAGCCACAGGCGCAATGGGAGCTCCTTCCACCGGCTTCGCTCGTTCCATCTCGCGCCTGGTGTAGAAGAAGGAGCGCGCCCTCCCCTCCGTTCTGTCTTTCCCACACCATCTCCCACTCCTTCTCGTAGTCGCTCATTCTTTCGTTTTTCCAAGACACCTACTACTACGGTCGCGAAATCAGTCTCGATATCGCGTCCGCGTCTCTCTCGTACATGGCTCGTCCCGCGGAACGCATCCGTGCCCATTCCCCCGGGCTTCATCATCGCCCTCGGTGTGCTTCTCTCTCTTCTCTTCATCGTCATTCTTGCATGCACGTTCCGCGGGGCAGATGCGGGCGAGCCTCCGTTCAAGGAACTGCTGAATACTTTGGCAAGGACTTCTCCGGGCGTGAGTTCACAAGTTGGCACTGGAGAATGGGAGTTGAATGCTAACTTGGTGTCAGGTTGTTTTGATAGGCGATAATGTTGATGTGGACGTGGATGAACCGTCTGTTACCATTCGGTGGTCGATTGTCGCATGCGGGGCGGATTATATGCTCCCAGGATCGAACGGAACCCATGGAAGTAATCTTTGCGGACTGCCGAACATGGCGTTGGCCATCTTTGTTGATGGGTCAGTGCTCACCTGATACTCTTTCTAGTAATCTAGACTGATTGACAAAACAGAGAGGACACCCCCACAGCATTATATGACCCCACTGACATACCTTTCAATAAAGATACCGGAATGAGGAGAAGGTTAGTAACGATGTTATTCTCTGACATTTTTTTTTTTTGCTGAGTGGGTCCTATTAGCGTCCAGAACTTGGTTCAATTCGACTCGGACCACGACCTTGACGTTCATAAAGCGCGTTTGTACCCCTTTGACACGTACTTTCTGTCCAGTAGTATCCGTATCGCCTCGCCGACGTCCAATGCGAGTTCCGCAAGCCCTTCCTTCTCTCCCGTTTCCCCTTCGACTATCCCATCACAAGAGCGACCCATACCGATACAGAGGCTCGTAACTCTCGACGTAGTAACGAACTTCAACATCGACACACGCGATGTGGAGAGTTACGCGCTCGAGCCAGCGGGTGATCGAAGCGTTCCTACACGGTAAACTTTCCGCTCCTTGATTTATACTTATATTTGTGCTCATCAAAGTGCAGAGACATCGACATGACTATTCGTCGACCGGGCGAAGCGCGCACCATCTGCCTCCTGCTCTTCGGTGTCTCTTGGGTGTTGACTCATGTGTCTATCGGGCACGTTCTACTCGCAAGACGTCTCACGGCCGCGAAGCCCGTGCTGAAGCATCTGGCTGCGGCTGGTGCGATATTAGTGGCGCTCCCTCACATCAGGGATAGTATGCCAGACGCACCGGGATTGGATGGCTTTCTGATTGGTACGTTTACCGTTGCATTTGGTGACTGGCAAAATGTTGAAAAAGGATGATTGTGTAGATACCATCGGCTTCTTCCCGCAAATGATCATCACTGGAACGTGTATCGTCGCTCTGCTGCTCATTGTCGTCGCGCGAGAACTCTCCAACACGTCTGGCGGTCTTGTCCGTCGTCCGAAGCTTTCAATTATGCCGCCGCCGCCCCTCCCCGTGTTCACCGGTGAAGCAAAGCCGCCTAGTCCCACTGTTGGCACGTCGGGTGAGATGACAAAGTACGAGATGGATAGGGTGATGAAGCATCTCAAAGGACAATACGTCTTCCCGCCTCTTCCGCCTGTGCCCTCGAGTCCAACTCGCGGGGTACACCGAAGAGTTATGACGGTCGTACCCCAGTCAAAGAATATCTAGTCCACTCTCTGGCATTCCGTGGCGTTCTTGGTGAACCCTCACTTACAATGTGGCGTGCATCTAAATGATCACGGAGTCGTTGCACTCTTTAGTAGCCATATCTACACTCCTTAAACAAACTGTCCACTCCTTTTTTCAGTTTCTTTGTCTTGCTCGGACCACAGATGTACAGTAATATGTAAAATGTTCATGTGAATAGTCATTAAGGTTCAGTTCATACTTCAATAATACCTACTCAGGTGGTGTAATGATGAGGTGTTTAATATGTATCTCCATTATGGTACACAACCCCAGCTTCAGGATCTCATACACGGAGCGGCGGATAACGTCGCATGAGGACTTTGTATGTCTCGCTTATGATATACGTACACGCGTAGCACGGATGTTATAGGTACACAGGCTCCGAATGTACACCTTGTCTGAAGACCACCATCATGTCTGCGCGGCTAGCCGAGTCCGCATACCTACATCTGGTGACCACCGCATTCTGAACCACCAGCAGCCTCCAGATTCCAGTCTGATTGCTATTGATTGCGTTGACAAGCCCACATCGTCCGTTATCAATTGCCATCACTGTCACCATATTCCACGCATTGCGCATCAACAACCAGCCGTACATCACAGGATTTGGGATGAAGAGAGAAGTGTTTCCAAACATTCTGGTCGTCATAGAGGGGATTGTAACAGGCCAGGCCGAGTTGGACGGTCAACAGACCGAGTATCCGCTCGAGAGCGCTGGGAGCCCAACATTCCGAGACGGTTTAGGTCATAACAGGCCAGGGAGGTTATAAGTGTGCTGAGTGCCCACCTCTACGTTCTGGGAGCCCAATGGCTGCCACTCATTCCTCACTCAACATATGTTTCCGCCGCCACCGCCGATCACATTGATTCCATTCACACCCACCACTATTATAGATTGCTATTGCACTCTGCCATTGTGTTGTGTAGGCATTCAGCAGATCAACCCGGAGGTTGATATTTTAGTTTGTATGGGATGTATGTCTCGCTTATGTTATATGTACATGCGTAGCACGGATGTTATAGGTACACAGGCTCTGAATGTACACCTTGTCTGAAGACCACCATCATGTCTGCGCGGCTAGCCGAGTCCGCATACCTACAGTTATTTCACAATCACCACCCTAATTGAGGCTGATACTAAGAGCTTCATAGTGTCTGCGAGCTAATGTACCCTATAAGCTGAGATCTATACTCTAATTAACAAAAGAAATCTTTACAAAATAGAAATTGCGCCACATTTCGAAAATGAAATGTGGAAAACTTTGATGAGAGTGGGATTCGAACCCACGCCCTTTCGGACCAGATCATGTGGGTACAACTACCCGGGTCTCCTTAGTCTGGCGCCTTAGACCGCTCGGCCATCTCACCATGAGTAAGGGGACGCCATTTAAATTATCAATCTCAATCAGGTCGACCTAGGCTCGATACTTGCTTCACCTGGCCTCAATTATTATTATAGACCATGCTGCGCGTCAGATCTTTATCACTGCCACCATTCAGATTCTGCGGTTTTGCTGCGGTTCTGACAAGTACTTAAACAGCTCCGACTTTCGCATCCCTCCCCAAAGTACCTGACATGCTCGTGGTACCTGATACAGAAATGAAGGCCACATCCAAATCCGAAGAACATGCCCAGTTTGCGGAGCCTCTACCAGTATGCATTGCCACAGCAAGTGACTCCCGATGTTGTACTGATTGCCGATACCCAGCCTGAAGGTCCTCCCTCGTATGAAGACGCTGCCAGCACAAGCATTAACGTTCGCGTCCTTGTCCCAGCCCATCTGCGACCGACGAACTTTGTCTACGTCAATCGCAGCAACTCTTCCATCAAGGAAACGTGCGCCATCAACAGCGCGCTCGAGATCCCGCAGTCTTTGCTCCCGCCGCTCGAAGCCGGCGAGACGGTGCGCAAGAACGTGTCGATGATCTCCAAGAATGGCAGCGTGAACGGGACGATTCATCTCTTGGAGGGTGGACTGCGCGCAGATCTCTTACTGCGATCGCAGAACGGATCCGTGGAGGCGCGTGTGGTATGTGTGGTTCATCTAAACCAGCTTCGTGCTCAACCCACATTCAATATAGTACCGTACGTCGCGATCGGACCCCTCATTCCGTCTGGACGTGTCATCGCAGAACGGAGGCGTGCGCGTCTACATACCGCGCGACTTCCAAGGTCCCATCGCCATCACGCACGGCAATGGATCTGTAAAGCTCTCGGATCAAGTGGCAGCAGCGACATCGGCCTTTACTGATGTCAATAAAGTGACGCGGTGCTTCATCGGGGACCTGAGGTTGTGGAAAGAGGGCGACTGGGATGGAGACGAGCTCATAGCAGAATCGAGGAACGGTGGAATCAGAGTGTACTTTAACGACGAGCCTCCACCGCCGCCCACATTGTCTTTCTTCTCCAAACTATTTTCTTGAGGGTCTATATCATGTACTTGTATGCATAGTTGTATCTGTTAATTAGCTTCACAGTTTGCTCCTAATACGATTGAGCAGCAAAGCAGCATCATCATAGTCCAGCTCTTCGCGCGCCTCGAACTCCATTTGGTGCATATCACGATGCGTCAAAGTAGCATGAGGCTCGCGGACTTGAGGAGTCTTCTTGGCTCCCAAAACCGGGGCCGGGATTATATGGTAGTGCACCTTTTACGCGTGTGAGCACGTTTGACGTGGCGCGACGTATAACGTACATGAGGAACGGCCTGGGCGTATTCTTGATTGCACACTACGTTTAATCCAGTATTATCCAGAGCTGTATCGCTTGAGTTCACTCAACCGAGAAGAATAAGCTAAGTGTACATACCCAACGTCAACGCGTTCGCCACTTTCGAAACAGCAACTCCAGCAGCGGCTGCATAATCCTCAGGAAGTTCTGAGAGTCTAGAGTAATGCGCTTTGGGTATCACCAGGGCGTGTCCTTCGCGGAGTGGCAGAATATCTGCACCACGTAATCAATTCAACGTGTATGAATCGGTATAATGGACAAGACCTAGGATAGCGATAACCTTGTCATTTTCGTAGATTACAGCAGCCGGCGAGTCTCCTTTCAAGATGCGACAAAATGCACAGTCCGGGTCATCGTTCCATGCAGAGGGCTTTCTATCCACATGGGAGTCAATAATGAAGGAAGTCATGCCGTGGCTGTGTAAGCTATCCCAGAGGTGATTATGATTGTTGTACAGTACTCGAGCTATGTGTAAAGGACATAAGTTATGACCGAGGCTGTAACAGCACCAGCAGCAACGCCAGACAGTACTGCTCGGTCCCAAAAGCTCGACGTCTGCAACAAAATGGGGGACGGCTTCAAAGTCTCCCGCTCCCTCTCTGCCTTGACCGCAGCCTCTGCCAGGACCGTCAAGACCCTAACCTGCTCCTGCAAGTCTTGCTTAACATCGTTAATCCCGGCCTCCACAAGCTGCCTCGTCTCCAAACTCAGCTCCTCCGTCTTCCGCTCAAACGTCTGCGCCAAGCGTTTCCGCTTCCACGGCTCGACGAACAGAATCGCCGAGATGAACACGAGCAAGTTGAGCGCAAGCGCGGCGAGCTGACCGTACGTCGACGCGCTGCGGATTTTGTCGGACCACACCTGTTCTTCGTGATACCGCCCGAGAATCGCGCGCATGAGCTCGCTAAACTCGCGCTCTTGGGCAGCCTCGGACTCGTCGACAACGTCCTTGGCGCGCGCCTCCTCCTGCTCAAGCAAGTGGTCCTCCCGCACAAGCGCAGTGAACCGGCTCACGTCGTGGTCGCTCCACATCGACTTGCGCTGCAGCAGGTCGTTCACTTCGCGCTGCGAGTTGGACCGCTTCGACACCGCATCTTCATATCGATTCTTGGCCGCCCGCGCGGCGTGACGTGTAGCATTGATGCGTTCCTCTTTTAACACACAATATTCAGCGACAACGTCCCAGAAACGATAAGGATGCGACTTACACGTACCTTGTTCTACCACCTGCCGTTTCAAGGCCTCTATCGCCTCATAGCCAGTAACCTTGTTGAGCTCCGCCCCCAGTCGCGAAAAAGTGATCTTGGTCGTCGTGGTGAAATCATCCGCTTTAGTCCGTAGATTAATCAAGGCGCGGTCAGAGATCTCTGCGAGACGGGATCTGACTTGTTCAATGTCATAGTCTGGATGAGTTGACGAAGACGGGGTAGGCTCGGGCGATGTTCCCGAAGACGTCGATGAGATGGGCGGTGTCTGCTCTTGAGGCGGCGTGCTGTCAGCCGACGGAGGTCGTGTTGTTCTCCGCAGAGAGGTTGTGGTCAAAGAGCGCGAGAACAACGCCCGCGGCGAGTGCGACGCCGCTCTACTGATCATGAAGGTCGGTGACAAGTTACTCTCGCGTACTCCCGGCACGAGGTGTAAAGTACTTGTTCAATTATTTGACTCAATGGCTACAGAATGTATGTTCCCTCTCTATGATTCTATAGGCCAGTGACATTATGTATATCCCGCCGCGCGCCCATGTGAGTTATAGGTTGTATGTACAGTAGTACTAGCGGAGGTGAGTGACGTTAAAGCAATGCAACTGAAAACACGAGGGACTGTGGAGGTCATAAATGAGACAGTAAAAATTAAAATCGTCTAACTCCAGACGTCGAGGAGGAGGCGAGATCGCTCCTTCAACATCTTCACCTCAGCAGCACCTTCAACCTCGGCGGATCCACCCTTGGCCTCACCTAGGATTTTGGCCAGAGTCTCCTCGACAGCTTTCGCCATGCTCTTGGCGTCACCGCAAATGTAGACGTAGCCTTTGCCGTTGATTATACCGTCCGCAATGTTCTCCCGGTCGTCCCATATCAAGTCCTGAACGTAAATCTTGCTGCCATCGGGCCTGAACTTTTCCCGAGAGAAGGCACAGTGCAGTGTGAACTTGCCCTTGAGCTCCTCCCCGTACTTCGGCCACTCCTCAGCATACAAAAAGTCCTCCGTCGATTTGCGGCAGCCGTAAAAGAGTGTGATCTTGCCCCAGTCATTGAGCGCATCAGGTCCGTTCTTCTCAATAGTTCGGCGCGCCAATGCAACGCGCTCCTGCACGAAACCACGGAAAGGAGCAACACCCTAATGATCCGATATCAGTCAAATTGCGATGATAAAGGAGGAACGGACGTACAGTTCCGGGACCAATCATGATGACAGGACTCTTCGGGTTAGTGGGAAGACGGAAAGTCGACCTGCGAACGTGAACCGGTGACTTGTAGATAGTCTCCTGCCTGTAAGCTCCACGCGGTCCTTCGATGGCGTAAGCTGGAAGAACAGTGTTGGCAACACCGGAAGCGTTAACGGTAGGCGTGGGCTCCCCGTTGGACGCATGCTTGAGGTTCAACAAAAAGTTGGAACCGACACCGTAGACCCAGCGAGTGGGAACCTTGTCACTCTCCGACTTGTACTTGAGCACAACACAAGTAACATGTATGGAGTTGGGGAAGAGCTTCGGGCTGGAGGAGATGGAGTAGTACCGAGGCTGCAAGCGAGGAATGGAGGAGACAATGATGTCAAAGGGAATCTTCCAGACGGTGGTGTTGTCCTTGTTCGGGATAACAGTGATATCGTTACCAGCCGCAGTCTGGAGGATCTCTCCGACCTTCAAGCAACCGCTCGCAACAACATTGTGATAGGTGTCCTTGTTGGTGTTGACCTCGCGCATGAACGCTTCGGCCTCCGGAGTGGGTGCGAACTTGGCGAATGTACCAAGGATCTGACGACCGGCGAGAGCGCTGATATCAATGTAGTGACGAAGGACAGTGGCATACGTAGTGGGCACCGGGAAGGGGACCTTGGCGAGAGCGGGGTCAAGCGACTCGATGCCAATAACAGTGTCCTTCTTGTCGTAGAGACCGAGAGCGCAAAGGAGACGGTCAACCTCGAGCTCGGCGTTGGTGGGCCAGACACCAATGTGATCGCCGTGTTGGTAGGTCATACCAGAGCCTTCAATGTTGAGCTCGACGTGCACGCAATTCCGGTCACCGCCCACTTGGAATAGTTCTCGAGAAACGGAAACGGGGGCGGCGAAGGGGTTCTTCGCATCGTGGATACCCTTGGTCTTGGTAAGAGCACGCGCGGAAAGTTCACCTGCGGCGGAAATGAGTAAAGCGGCGAGAGTAAATAGAACAAAGCAGCATACCGAGGTAAACCTTCTCCTGCGGATGCGATTCCAGTTCAGAGACGGCAAAGTCAGCGCTGTCACCACCTTGGCCCTCCTCGACGTTGAGAGCTTTGGCGAACGCTTCCCACATGCCATCCTTCCACTCAAGGTAGTCCTCTTCCATGCTCTTGTCGTCATCACCCTCGCCACGCTCGCCGATACGCTCAGCACCCATCTCTGTGAGGTACTGGTCGACCTGACGCGCAACCAAGTTGT